CCACCCAACTCTAATTTTGAACATCTTTCCTTTTGGGCTTCCAGGTTTTCTCAGAGCCTTCCAAGCCTGCAGAGAGGGTGGAGGCTTCATTCTTCTCAGTTGGACAGCCAATCCGGCATGCAAAATTGCTCTTCAAAGCATTATGTGATAACCACATTTCCAAATTGTTTAGATGTGGTGTGGCTCAGGTGTACAGATGGTTGTTTTCTGAATATGATCGTTGTCTGCATTTCTGAGAAGATAATGCTAAATACATCTAGCTGGGTAGACAGAGGGCAAAGAGGAGTGGGCTGAGGGCAGTCTAGTCTAAAAATTGAAGAAATGTTTTTATTTCTTCCTCCTCCTGTTTTCAAATAGTATTTAATACACCAATAGTTTTTTTTTTAATTCAGTGCCCTTTGAGGAAATTAGGTTCCTGTACTCTAATGTTCAGAAGCTGAGGAGTTTTGTCAGCTTGTTCAGGTAGTGTTAATTGGGCTGTCCTCAAAGGACCATTCGTGTAGGTGAGCACACAGCTGCTACCTTTGGGAACGATGCAAACAGAAGCAAAGGGAACGTGAAGCCAAATACTTTATGGAGATGTGTGTTACCTCTCTTACCTGGCTTTAATAGCTGAATGTCACAAATAACAGCAGGTGCACCGTCTCTGCCACTTTGCTGACAGTTGATGTGCTTTAATTTAAAAGCCTGAGGAGTGCACTTTGGATCAGCAGCTGGCACCTGCACAGCTATGCTGAGGTTGTTCTGTCTGGTCTGCTGCGTTCATCAGCAAGTCTAAACTCTCCCACGGGCCTTGCGTTCTTCCAAAGAATGTGCCTTATTGCTCAACCAGTGTGCATTTGTTGCTCAACTTTTTTGCAGTGGCTCCAGATAAGCTGATTGGTGCAAAGGGTGATGGAGGATGTGCTTGGGTTGCCAGCTATAATTGAAGGCATTTCTGCAAGATGCAGCATATCATGCAGGGATTAAACATTCAGCACCTGACAAAATCCCCACTTCTGTATAGATGTTTTAGGGGTGGCAGCCGGGCTCACACTATTTATCTCCTTTAGTCCATATCTTGTATCTTAATCCATGGCTATGTTGCTTTTGTTGGTTATATTGATTGCAGTTTTATAAAGATCAGCCTGATTCGATGTTGTAAAGCTGCTTTGAAATATTCTACAAAAATTAATGTGGTGAAACCATGACTACAACTTCCTCTTAAGGTAGGCCAGTTGCGCACATTGATGTAATGCTGGAACCTCCCTTTCTCTCTTAATCCTGGCCTGAGGCCCAGAAATCTGAATCATTTTCTTCTTGGGATTGCTAGTACTGTAAGTACTGTAGCTAGAGCCCTCCCTTCATTGTGGACAAGGCCAGTTTGTTTTTCCACTGTTCCCATTAGGTGCGCAAGGGAAGCATATAGAGGCTTGCCACAGGCTCACTATTGTATGATTTAACTTAATATCTAGTTAAAAATAGTTTATTAAGTATCAAAGTAAGGGGCAAAGGGGGAAAAAGAAAGAAGAGAGGAAAATAAAGCAGTAAGATGTTTGTTATCCTTTGCTAAGACCCTTGGAAACAAATCTGCATATTTGCACATTTAGCCAACAGTTCAGCATGCAGCATGCTCGGATATCAAAGAATGCGGTGCCAAAAGAAAAAGGAAACTTATTCTATATTTATTATGAATTGGCAGGATAGACCAACATGTTCGGTTGAATAAGCTGTAGGCAGAAAGGCAATTTTAGCACCCTTTGCAAGTTAGGATATTGGGATAGGAAGGTGTTAATGAAAAAGAAGATTGCTCACTGAGCTGCCAGAAGACTCAAAGACATCAAAGGGTTTCTCACATTCTATATTTGAAAATGTCTTTATTTCAGTGCCCTGGGCAGAAGGAGACTAGCTATGAGGGCTGTATTTATTGTTTTTTGTTTTTTGTTTTTATTAGATTTTTTGTTTTTGAATGAAAGAAAAAATGCTAGGCAAGACAATTCCTCCGTAATAAAGGAAACATGAGAATGCATGCTTTCAGGCCACTTATGTTTATTTCTCCCTGGCTTATGCACATCATCTGTAATACACGGAGATGGAGGTGTTGCATAGCTGGGCCTGTCATTGGCAGTACTGTAAAATTTAAGTTCAGGAGACACAACTTGAGGATTAGCAAATCTTTGGACTATTAAGTTGTGTTTTTTTTTTTTGTACTGTTAGTGGTTTTTCTTCTTCTTGCTGAAAGACAGCATCAATCTAGTTTGCTTGTATACATTGATCTTGTAGCTCTAGAGTTTAATGAACAGGAGGACAGGGCCAATAGCAGAAGCGTCTTTGGATTAGCTTATTACAAAATTGTCTTCTGTTCATCAAAACTTAAAGGATGTGCCTGAAGGTAGAAAGCTGTCTTCTGATGGTAAAGAAAATATGTATTTGGGAGTGAACATAAACTCTTTTGTAAGTGCATATTTTGTTTGACTCCTTTTCTTCTGAGAGGATTCAAAGGACCAGTTTGAAATGTCCTCCTGAGATTGGGGAAGCTGAGCAAATGACTTAGCAAAGGCTACCCAACGTTGCCACCATTCAGGTCTGTCCCATAGCCGCTACATCACACTGCTTCCAAGCACTGTTATCTATTCAGAAACCTCTTTGCGAATGTGCAGTTTTACTACACATGTTATTTAGCAAAAAGTATAAGGACATAGAGAAAAACAACAGTTGTGTCTGATTCCATTTCTCCTGGACTCCCCTTCCACTGAGCAAGGTTGGAAGGATTTTTGTGACATGTTCCATGAATGTCTTCATACTGGGAATAACTAATTCCTCTTTTTCTTTCTTTGCAGCTCACCCCTGGGGGCAAGGCAGCCCAGGCAGGGGTTGGAGTCGGGGACTGGGTGTTGAGCATTGATGGAGAGAACACCAGCACAATGACCCATATTGAAGCCCAGAACAAGATCCGTGCCTGTGGGGACAAACTCTCCCTCAGCCTAAGCAGGTAAGTGGCTCTCAGGCTGGTGCTGTGGATTCTCTTTTAGGAGCAAGAGGTACATATTGGAAGGATGACTTGCTTTGAACCAGATGTTTCTTTCACTCAGACTCAGTCCTTTTGGATGACATAATATTCTAGGATATCAGCTGGCTTGCCAGCTTTCATTTTGGAATTTAACAAAACAAACAGCCACCTGCTTGCACATTTACATCCTGGAGGTAAAAGCCTCTGAGGCAGACTGCTCTGATGGGGAGCGTAACCTTCATTTTCCGTTTTTCTTTCACAAGGCTTCCAACCACCATATTCCCTGTTTAGAAGCTTTTAAACCAAAGCAATAAGCAATGTAGAACGTTTTAGATCAGAGCATCTGGATTTTTAAACTAGGACTCAGTTGTTCCTGAAATAAAAGTTCATTAGGATTAACAGGAGAGAAATGGAGTAAGAGAGATTAATCGTGATTTTTATCTAACTGGCTGCTTGAATCAGTTCAGTATTGTATTTTACCTTGTAAGCCCCTGGGAGTCTGAATGATAAAGCAGCATATACATTTTATTTTAATAGCAGTAACAATAGTAGCCCAAACAAAGTGGCAGCTCAGAGTTCAAAACTGTTAAGCCCTAATTGTACAGCCCGCAGTACAGATTGGCTTTCCTGCATAACCAGGACGGCCCAGATTCCAGACGTGCATTTTCTCCTGCGGAAAAGGACTTGGGATCGACGGTTTTGCAGTAGCATGACTCCATGTGGATTCCAGCCAAAGCATTCAAGCTGATTTCAGACTACACAAAGGGGACTCCTAGGTGAAAACAGGTGTGGATTTGAAATAATAAACAGTTAACAAGCAAGATGGTGCTGGATGGTATTTCCTGAAAGTTAAGAGGTGGGGAAAATGCCTGCCAAAACAATCTTGCTTGTTAATTGTTTATTATTTCAGTTCCACACCTGTGAAGCAGATAGTGCGAAAATGTTACAGCCAAAATAAATGTAGGTCAGCCAAAATACTGCAAATAAAATTATTTTTGGATGAATGCAGTGCTCGTTGTTGGATTTCCTAAAAGGACATATCGAAAGCGGCAACTAGTACAGAATGTAGTTAGCAGGATGAGTATGTTATTTGTAATGAGTTGTAAAGCCCTTAACTGTCAAATATCAGCTTATCTTCATAACTGCAGTTATCTATATGAACTTGGCAGGTTTTATGATAGGCGCTGGGAGCTCTGTTCTCTGGCTTGTCACTGATGATCTTCTTAATGGTGACGCCAAAATTATGGAATACTGTCCCAAGAGGCCTTCTCATCTCAGAGAAGCAGTTAAGCCGTCTTTCACGGAGTGACTTTTAGAATTTAATTTTTCTGCTGTCTTAATTCTACAGCAGCTTCATTAATTTCCTTACCCGTTGGTGTGATGTTTGCTTGTTGCTGTGATTTTTCTGCATAAAAATCCTAGATAACAATACAGAATTAATAAAATATACACTATAGTATTGCATGCCAGAATACATATGTGTGCTTGATAAGAACCATTGTTTTTGTCATCTGGAAGAGGGGAAGAGTCACCTAATAGGTTTTTTTTTTTTAGAAAGATATGACATGAACTCAAAAAATCCATAATCGCAGTACAAAAATGGCAAGAGCTGTGGAAAAAAATCAATAAAATTTACTCCAAGTTATAATTTAAGGGAAAATTGGTATAAAATGTTGTACAGATGGTATATAACTCCATCAATAATTACCAAGATAGATAAATCATATAACAATCAATATTGGAAATACCATAATAAAGAAGGAACATTTTATCGTATGTGGTGGTCATGCCAAAAACTCAGAAATATTGGAAAGCAATACATCAAAATATTCAGAAAATCCTAAAAATAAAATTTGAACTGAAACCACAAATATTTTTATTGGGTACAATCCCAGAAAACATAAATGAAAAATATTACAGTTTACTAAGATATGTGCTGACAGCTGCAAGAACAAATGTGGCACAATGCTGGAAAAGAGGAGCTTTGCCGACAATATCAGATTGGGAGGCCATAACTGGAGAACGTGCAGCAATGGCAAAATTGACAGTATATATTCATAGTAGAAGTCTGGCCAAATGTAAGCAGTAATGGCTTCCATATATCCTACACATTACACAGCAGAGCAAATTTAGACATTTGGAATATGGTTTTTAGGAAGGTAGTTATGAGACTAATGAAAAATAATTGAATTGAATTTTGAATTCAAAAAGAATTGAAAGAGATACTAGTGATAACCTTAAATGTTTAAGGTAAAGCATGTATATGTAGGTTGTGGTCAGTAGTTGGGGAAAATACCTGGAAGGGAAGGGGAAAATTTATTATTCGAAAGTTCTCCTATAATGTTTTTATTTATGTTTTATTTAAGCTTAGTAGTTGTTTCTTTTTCAATTCAGTTGTTACTATCTAATGCAGACCTTTTTTTCTTTGCATTTCATTATTCTAATAATAAAATATCTTTTTAAAAAATCCCTGTTTGTCAGGGTTTTCTTGTCATATATCAAAAGTACAGGGAAGCACATATATCTGATCTATTTTAGTTTCATCTTATGTCCTTTGTTATTTTCAGCCTGCAAAAGCAGGTTAAACTATACAGATAGTCCTTGTTTAGTGACCACAATTGGGACCAGCAACTCAGTTGTTAGGTGAAGTGGTTGCTAAATGAAACTGACTCTGCTTACGATCTTACTTCAGCTTTCCTTTGCTTTACAGACCTGCAAAGGTCGTAAATGAGGATTGGTTGCAATGTTACTTTTTCATCACTGTCGTAACTGTGAACAGTCACTGTCTGAGGCAGTCGCTAAATGAGGACTACCTGTAAAGTCTTTGCTACTGTTTTGGCAGCATTGAAGTACATACAGTATGCAAACACCCAGAGTGATATTTACAAGAGAGTGATTTGAACTGACTGAATCTTTTTTTTTAAGAGAGTAAATTAGAATGCAAAGGAGAAATATTATTTCTTCACTGCAGAATTTCCAGACAATCTGGGAAAAAATGAATGGACTCATTAAACTGTCTAAATTCTCATGACTGTTCTCTCCCAAAGCATCCTCTGGCACTTTCCAGATGCCTCATGGTGTGAAAGGAGCTGGACTGATGATACTAATTTGCTTTAGCTTTCCATGGTTACAAACGGTTGCAGCAGTGTAAATCTCTTGCAGCAAAGGTGGTGACTTGCAGAAAACTTTGCCTGTAAATTGTATAGCTGAACTGAACTTGTTAGGCAGAGCCTCTATTAACAACAGTTTTTCTCTTGCAGAGTTCAGAACCTCCTAGGCAAACCTCAGAAGGTGCGTGCGCAGCTGTTTCTCTCTAGGTCTCTCACTTCTCTTTGGGAGACTGTGAAATAAGGTTGGGGGTGATATCCTAGCATCTCCTAGATGTTAAGAAGAAAACTGAAATACATGGATAATGTATTTCAAAACCCAGAATAATAAATGTCCCAACATAGTTTGGGTAGAGACGTGAAAAATATTCTACAATTGGAAAGTTCTGACCATGAAACATTTTGCCCCCAGAGCTAGACAATCTTTGTTCAGATAGTTATTTTAATATCCAAAAGAATGGTAGATATATGTGTCTTGAGCTTTGAAGGCTTACGGTGAGCCTTCTTAAGTCTAAGTGGACATTCATGCTGAGTTGCTGAATAATTCCAGTTGGTGCTTCTCAGCAATCAATAGAAATTCTTTTTTTTTTTTTTTCCTTTTTGCATCTGTTTCTGGTAAACCTTCTCTTCTTTGAACTAACCTGGTGTTTTAATCTGGGTCTAAGTGTGATGTTCTCCTGATACAGGATGGCAATTTAAGGTTTTGCATCTGTTTCTGGTAAACCTTCTCTTCTTTGAACTAACCTGGTGTTTTAATCTGGGTCTAAGTGTGATGTTCTCCTGATACAGGATGGCAATTTAAGGAACTGTAGAATACAGTATTTTTTTTTCAGCCTTCCTGAATTTTTGGCTTATTGTTAGCTTCTTTTTAAATTATACTTCAGAACTTCCAGAAGTCAGGAATTGGAAATGGGTGTTACACTAGTGTAGCTGGGTACAATTTTCAAAGGCAAACTGGGATATAATCTTGAAGCTGCCTGGCTTAGGGGCTTGGAGCTGCAAGTAGGGTCATGTTGATCCCTGAATCGAGTCTTTGCTTCACACCGGAGTGAGGCAAATGGGCAGACCATGGAGAGGGATAGTCTTTCCAAGATCTTGGTAGGGCTGCCTTGGGAGATGCCCATTCATGTTTTCAGGTCCGTTGGTGGAAGAGGGAAATGAGCTGAGGGTAGAGAAAGAGATATGCATGGTCTGGTTTTGCTCCTTAAAGCCACAGCATGTGCCCGTGTAAATGCCTGTTTCCGCTGTCTGGATGGAAGGCAAGGCAGGAGCGTCTTTTGCATTGACTGCCTCCCTGTGCACCCTCTAGGCAGCTGTTGAGGGGTCCTTTCTGCCCTTGAAGGGGTTTGCTGAACCAGGCAATGCCAGTTTGGGAGTAGGCAGATAGAGATAAGACAGGGTGGACCAGTGGCTACGTTGTGGCTGCTCCGTGCCAGGGTGTGTGAGCTTGGGTTCATGGCCTTGGTGCTCCAAGAGAACTCGTGAGTTGCCTGGCTTCCATCTGGGACACTGTGGCCTCTGGCTCTGCCTGATAATTGGGTGCTCTTGCATGTTGCCTGCTAGGCCAGCTTGGGCATTGTCGTTTTGTCTTCTGTTTAGGATGCACTCCCTTCTTCTCAGCCCCCCAAATACAACTTCACTCCCAGTTCTGCCCTCAACAAGACAGCCCGGCCCTTTGGAGTTAACCCTGCTTCAAGCACTCAACCTGGGCTGGTGACGAAACCTGTGCGGTATGTTCCCCCTGCATCCGTCTGCACCACACAGCACAATGGGTATGTTGCTGTGCTTCTGGCCATCCAGGATGGGGTGGGGGTGGAGTAGTAATGTGATTGGGAAGCTCTGCACACTGGCCCTCCTCTGCCTATTCCCTGCATGTAAACTTCTGCATGTGTGGCTTTCCACCGAGGGGCACTGGGTGGGTAAGAATGTCCCTCCTCCCCCTTAGAAAAATGTAAACCTCTGATGTTGCAGTGACCTCTTGTGGCTGGAAATGATATTGCAATGCCTAAATAAAACCGTTCCCCAATTTAATGATGTTCAATCCAGGATGTCAGATTGACAACCCAGTAAGTTGTGATTTTAATGATAACGTCTCACTTTTTAAAGACTCCTCTTCCATGTTCTGGACAACCCAATAGATGCAGCTGAAATATAATGCTATGCCCCATGGAAAATGCCTACCTATAATTCTTTTTACCATTCAACTCAAAATAATTCTTATGTTAGACAGTTTAATTGTAATGGTAGCATATTATGGCAAGTTAGCTTCATCTGTATGTTCAGAATTATCAGATTATGGGTTATATATTTTTATTTAAATAGACTGAATGTGATTTCTGGATGTCTTTGAAATTTTGCACCCTCATACACTCCCTGATTGCAGCGTAAATAGCTCTCGATCTGAAAGACAGAAGTTTTGATAAATACAGGTCTGAAGTATAGTTCTATTCAGCCTAAAGCTGTACATTTCCAACAAGTTACTGAGAAACAGACTTGAGATGCCAAGATGTTTTCTGTTGAATGAAGAACAAAAATACCATTCTAAGAGCAGCAATCTTAACTTGTAAACTCAAATTTCCAGTTTATTAAGACAAATGTTAAAATGAAAAGTATACAATACAAAGAAAATGCACATAAAACACAATTAACATGCTGTGGTATCTTGTTGTCCCAACCTTAAACTGGTACCTCTGTCTCGACTCCACGTGAGAGAGGTGGGGATTTTTTAAAACATCTTTTAGGCTGTTGCCATTTGACTTTCTGCCTTCTCTTCTATGGAATATTTAGGTTCTTTTCCTTGTTAGCTTTGCAAATTTTGACCAGAATAGGATCACAAGACTGGAGAAACAAGATGATCAGTTAATGCAGAGATAAGAAGTCAGGGTGGTACAATGGGTGGAAGGGATGCTGGATGGTTGGGGATTAATTTAGGAATATTATTAAGCTTCAGATAAGGAGCGGGGAAAAGAATACGCTTGAAATCAGCAACATTGGCTGCTTTTTCTGCCAGGATGAGCTGCTGATGTGTGGAAGTCAACCCTAAGTGTTTAACTGCATGCAGTCTGTGTTCAGATGTTGCTGAAAATAATTATGCTTTAGGTGGGCTCCTCTAATTTGGTGCATTCAACTGGTTCTTGCCTTATTTATTTATTTATATTAGCTAATCAGTGGTACTGGTGGAATAGTGAGAATACTTAGTTGCTTCAGTATAACTTCATTTCCCTAGCAAGGAATAGCTTCTGTGCAACAGTGTCTAGTGTAGAAGGAGTTGTGAAAACTCACTGTGAACTGACCAGATCTTTCTTTCTAGTTTTCAGCAAAAGGCTTCTATAAACTTTCTGTCACCTGCATGTAGGTATAACTGTTGAGGCCTGTTCTTAACTTGTTTGGAAATGAGAACTTTTAGGAAGTAAAGGTTTTTCTTTGGATGGGACATTCTTGTCCCAGATTTTACATGGACTCATTGAACCTTTATTGTACATGCTTGGAAGCTTTTGATGCTGGAATTATGTGCATTAAAAAAAAAAACATTCTCATGTGATCTCATGCTAATGATAGGCAGCTTTCTCCAGCTTGATGTCTTCCAGATGTGTTGGACTGCACCACACAACATCAACATCCTTAGCCAGCACTGTCATAGCCTATGATGTCTGGTGATTACACCTGTCATGATTTAATGTACTCTTTCTCAAATTGATGCCCTCCAAATAAGCTGAGGCTTCAGTTCCTGGTATTCCTGGTTAACACGGGTGTCATGCTAGGTATAATAGAAGCGGGGGGGGCATGGATAGAGGAGTGTCATTGGCATCAAAATGGTGGGCATGACTGGGTGATCAAAGCCTTGCTCCTTTTTACCTGCCTGCAGCGCATGTTAAAAAGGGATGGGGCTTCAGTCATCTGGTTGCGCCTGCCGTTCTGGTGCTGTTGACTCCCCTGTGGATGCTCTGATTGAAGGCCACCTGTTGCCTTCACAGAGAGGGTAGGGGAGCATTGTTTTCTCTGCCTTTGACTCTAATCTGTCTGCCTTTCCTGTCTTTTTTCTCTTTCCCTTTTTCTCTCCTGCAGGCACTGAATCCTGACAAGTTAGTAAGCTTTTGGTCTTCTCTGTAACTTATATATAAGCCTTTTTGCTCATTTGCATGATATTTTCCATGTCAGGTTCCTCATTTCCTGTCTTACCCCCCTTCAGGGGAAGCATGGTTGTGACGGGAGTGGGAAATTCTCCCCTCCTAAAGAAATCCCAAGTTTGTTTGGATGGACGGGGGCAGAGAGCTTCAAAGGCCACAACAGGCTTAGATGGGAAGACCTGTTTTCACCTAGCAAGAAAAGCAAAACTTATTTGTGCCCTCTTGACCAAATCCTCTTGGATCATGCTGGAGCCCCTCCGAAGGTCCCATTTCTGCCATTTTCCTGGGAACTAATTGGAGGTGAATAGGCCTCTTTATATGGCAATGCGGCAGTTAGAACATGGAAGCTGCCCTAAGGCCAAGGGGGCCGAAAGGTTTGACTTCCAAAAGAGGATTCTGGTGCTTCTGCTGGGGGCTGGGAGAGCGGTGGTGCTCTCAATAGTGTACATTCATCTATAGCTGTGCCTCCCTGACCTAGATAAGGGTGAGGAATTGGTGCTAAATTTGGCAGGGAGCTTGTGGCTTCTCTCCTCCCCAGTGAAGCTGCAGATATCTCCAGGGGCATTAGCTGCTCCCTCTGAGCAGCAGAGATGTGAATGTTCTTGCTATGTTGGGGGGGAATAATATTTCTTATCTGACCAGTACTTTGCTTTCTCTTATCCTTTGCTGTTCCTGGCCTCAGGGTGACTGTTCACCCACCTGAGGTGAAGGCTGTGCCCCCAAACAAACCCCCACCTGATTATGGAGATTACTACCTGGAGGACCAGTAAGACTTGGGAACAGGGTCAGGGGCTGGGATGACAATGTCAGTAAAGTTTTCATCGTGCATCTTGTATTGTGTGGGGGTGCTCTTGCCTCATTGTAGCTTGCAAATGTTCCTCTCCCAATAGTTATGGAGAACAATCCCTGAGATACCCATGGCTACAATTCAAGTCTTTAGGTGTGTTTTTAAAAAACTCAGGTTGAGGGGGTATATTAGAGCATCACCTGACAAACTGTCAGGTTCAGCCCAAGAATCACAATGAGACAGTCCAGAAATCAACTCAGCTTCTTTATTAGCTTGCAGCTAATAGACAGAATCTCGCCAGACTGACTCTAATCCCCCCAACAACAGCAACTATAACCACCATGCCCTTAGGGAGGGGCCAGTCTCCTCCTCTTGACTTTCACACAGTCCGTCTGGGGGCTGAGGAACCTCTCCTCCCCCTCCCAGCAACCTTGAAGCTCCATTCCAGAACCCTCCCCGCTCATGCCTTCCATCACACAAACTAGGCTACTGTATGACATGGGAGCCTAAGATTTAACACCTGTCTCTCACAAAGTCAAACATTGGTCTGGCTAGCTCTGGGACTTCCTAATCCAGCAGCACTGGAGTAGTTTGTTAACAGACTCAGTACTTTGTTAGCTCAGAATCAACATGCCATCCCCATGAAGCAGTTCCCAGTTCATGTTCAACTCCTGATTACAGTTTACATACCTGTTGCATTGTTCCAGTCCTTGGAAAAAAAATCCAGTTTTTCCCCAATAAAGTGATTCCCTTGTGGAATCCAGACATTTCCAGATACTTCTCTCTTTGGCCATTCTTTAGGTGAGGATTAATGAGTTCATGCTTTCTTTGACCATTCGATTTTCTCTACTGCTTTGCCTGTCCTTGGGTTTGTAGTCCCCCTCTATGAATCAGGGAGTCAAGTCCCATCTCTTCCCTTTTCAGAGATCCAGTTGGAACCCTCAGCCAGGTCCTAAAGGCTATGAACCATCCTTTCTCCTCCTACCCAGCCATATTGGTTGAATTACAAATGGCTTCTGTTGTGTTTATAGCTGACAATCAGAGGTTTCTGGTGCTGTTTGGGGTGGGAACCACTAACTTTTGTTTTCTGTCTGTAGAGAGGGGTTGCCAGGACAGACACACACAAACAGATCATCTTTCCTTGCTTCTCAGGACTTTTGAAGGAATTTCTTACAATCTGCTGGCTGTGCTGGCACAGATTCTCCCTTTGCCCTGTCCTGCAGAAGAACTTCCATGCATTGGTGGGCTTGGGAAAAAACAATTCTGGGAGTTGAAGTCCACCTGTCTTAAAGTTGCCAAGGTTGAAAAACACTGCACCAAACAGATCCTTCGTATTCAGACGCAGTGTATCCTGGAGTATCAGATGTGAGACAGCGGCTGCTGCTTTACATCAGGGATGGTCAGCCCACAGGCTTCCTGGTCATACAGTGTGCAGCTCCTCAGATCCCATCCACTTTTACTGCTGACCAGCTATTAGAAAACCAGTTGCCACTGATGCTAACAATGACAAACTAGGTCTGTAGCCCTCACCAGTCAGATGATTAGTCCCTGATGGAAAATGTGCCCTTCTGCTTGAAGGATGTGCAAATTCAATGGCTTCCCATTTCCTCCCAGAATATGGTTACCAGAATTCCTTCCCAGCAAATGGAATCACAAAGGGAAGGGTATTAAGCAGCCCTTCAGAGCCTTCACCCTCCAGATTTGTTAAGATTGCAGCTCCCAGGATTCTCAGCCACATGCAGGTCTAGCTGATATATTTCTTTAGCCACAAAAAATTAACCAGTGTAGGCAGGGAGCGATGGGGATGAGCTTCAGGATCTCATATTACTCTATCCTGTTCTTTAGAGTGGCCAAGTCT